AAATTATTTGTAATTATTAAAATTATTAAGAAATTGTTTATTGGGATAAAATATTTTATGAATTAAAAGTTTTTCGCACGCACGCAGAGGAATCTTCCCTTTTTTTTTCACTGGTTATTTTTATACCTTCCAATTTGTTCTCTTTTTCCTTTTGTTTTTGCGTTTTAACAAGTTTTCTCCTTTTTTTTTTCTATGAGGATGACATACGAGGATGAAAGATGCTGTGCAAGGATGAGAAATTTGTCATCTAGATGGTAGCATACTCATCCTCAGGTAACACTGTCATCTTGCTACCATCTCTCGTGAAATTCGTAACCTTCCGTAATCTTCGTATAGCGTTCCCCGTGGCATTCATATCACCTCAATATGTGATAAATTTGAGACTAATTGGTGTAACTTTCATTTTGTTCTGCACAGAACATGACAATATCAACATTTCTTCAAAACGCAATGAATTTATCATTATTTAATGCTTCAAAAGCATTAATTCATCAAATTCTAAAGCTTTTCTACCAGTTTTTTATAAGCAAATAATACTATTGATCTCATTATATCTCCTACCAAAATGAAATGACTTTTGTCACTAATTGGATGGCTAATGTTAATCCATTGTATCCACATATTGGAATTAAATCACATTTGCCATTTTTAGTCTTATAAATTCATATATTGGAACTATTGAAACCTATATTGCTGAATTAGAATTTAATTATTATTATTAATTATTATTACCTATTATTCTATTATTATTATTATCACAGGCAAAATAAAAAGAGAGAATAAATACATTTCCATCAACTCCGACCAATAACTTTCATCAAAACTATTTAATATTTATCACTTACACTATCAATTATTTCTAATTTAAAAAAAATTCTTAATGTTTTGAATTCCACATTACCCCTATTCTTCCTTCAACTTTAGACCCCACCTTCATGTTTATCAACTACTTTCTTCTTCTTAAAACACAACTTTCGTACCTTTTTCACTTCATTTCTTTTTTTTCTTTCTTCTCTTCTCCTTCAACTCCTTAATCACCTTTTCAATATAATCTTTCATTTTTGTTGAGAATTTGACCTATTGAAAATTTGATTAATTGATTTCTTGGATATAGGTTGATTTTCATATAATACGTTATAAAGAAAATATATTTTAAAAAAACTAATTCAATCATTAATTATTATAAATTTTATATTTACTATTTATTCATTATTTATCTTATGAAAATTGAATTGCTAAAGCTCAACGATGGTGATTGTCATCACCAGGCAAAATTACATAATTCCCTGATCAAGTCCTTACCCTAACTTTGCCCACGTAAATTTAATTTTTTCTGGTGGTGATGTGGTGATCTGCTCAGAACAAAGAGTAAAGTTACATCAATCAGTCCCACTAAATCGAACTCTCATCACACAACTTCTCATACTAACTCAATATACTCTTGTATGCAATATTTTGTAACATCCACTATCTGCCAGTAAGATCAAGTAGACACTTGCCTACTTGCAACAAACAGATATATAAAATAAACACTAACACAGTACACACAGGTACGATCTGAAGGTACGTGAGTAAGTGGAGTAAAAGTATCCTTTTACAGCTCACTATGCAAACTTTCGAATCTTAGTTTTAGACTTTATTCAATAACTTTATTTAAGAAATTACAAAATTAGTAATAGAGGTATTACTGGCTGTTAACCATTTCTCACCAATATTACCATTATTACAAAATAAAATATTTAAAATATATCAAATTATGATGGAGTATGTTGAAACTATTAAACTTATTGCAAAGATGTAACAACAAAAATATATCACTACTTTGGTATGTCTTATCTCTGTTACTAAATCAAAACAATATGTTTTTATCTTTATTATTTAATTTTTATTATAAAATATATACCAAAAGATTATTTATTATTTTATTACAAATTAGGTAAAAGATTTTTGTAATTATTTGAAATGTATCAAAAGAAAATTAAAATTATAAAAATTGCAAAAAAATGAACTGATTTCCCTTACATCCTAAATTACAAGTTTATTTTGTACACTTTCGAACTTGTTTTCTTTATCCTTTGTTGTCATGTCTAAACACATCCTTTTCTATTTTTAAAGATAATACACAAGGATAAAGGACAATATACAAGGATGAGAAATCTATCATCTAGATAGTAATACACTCATCTTGCTATACTATTATCTTATTGTCATCTTCTGTGACATTCGCAACACTTCAAAATTCTGTGCACATTTCATGTGGAATTTGTACATCCTCAAACATTTCTTCCTTCAAGGGAAAGCTCCTGTGACCCCACACTTATACTTCATAAATCACTCATTAACTACAAATGTATTTCGCTACACATTTTCAACAATCTTTTGTACTCCTATTTCAGAAGCTTGTTGTGACCAATTGAAGATTCTTTGGTTGTAACATTTTGACTGCTTGTGTAAAAGATTTTATTTTTTGCATTATTTAATACGCTTGTGATCCATTCTAATGGGAATACTCTTGCAACTTGTATTTTATCGACATAACTATACGGGTTTCTTGAGAAATAGAGACATACTTGCTGAACCTTCTATAAGCATTTACTTGTTGCCTGTTAAGATTATCTAGATTTGTAGCTATAGAGAGCAGCCTGGCTACATCATAATTAAACACTGCTTCTGTAAGATCATGTACTTCTTTAAGTGTGGCTATTACATCCAGGACATATGGAAGTAACATGTTATTCTCTTGTGTATCACTTCATTATTTAGAGTCCTCACAGGTTTATTGTATAATCTTCTATTATCATATATGCTCCTGTATCATCTAATATGAGCTGGACATCTCTTGACATTTCTAATAACTCTTTGTGTAATCTGTTGACTTGTTTATAAAAGCTTTCAAAGATTTGTAGATAGTCTATGTTAAGTATTCTTAATTGTGTTTCAGAAAATGTCATATTTTATTCTCACCTTTCATGCATTGTTATTGTTCTCTGTTATCTCATATGAAATAAAACCCTTTTGTTTGTAAGACCTTAAGAGAATTCTATATATAAGTCAGTAGTTCAATACTTTTCTATCACTAGTTCTTAATGTGTATGATCCATTTTCCATAACTTGATAAATGTAAAAGGGTCCTGTTCATTTGTTCTGAAACTTGTTGTCATAAATGTTTTGTAAATCTGATTGATATTCTAGTACTATATCATTGTTTCTGTATATCATAATGTGGGTTCTCTTATCGTAAGTTCTCTTTTGTCACGTTTGAGCATCCTTTATGTTCTTGAATGCTTTAATCTTGTTGTCTGCAAATACTCCCACCATTTTGCTAATTCTTTTATTGATTATGTTCTCGTACTGTCTTTCATTAATTTTCATAACTGATTATGTTACTATATCAAACTTTATAGATAATATAGGCACGCAACCATAGAGTAGATAAAAGGGTTCGTATCTTGTCATCCTATTTCTAATGGTCCGATACACAAAAAGTGTTGGAAGTATTAACACATTTCAATCGTGTGCTATTTCTTGTACACACTTTTTCAGAGCCCTATATAAAATCTAGTCATATCATTCTGTTAGACCATTGCTTTAAGGATAGTATGCAGATATCAGTCAATAATGAGATTCCATTATCTTCACTAGATTCATTACTACTTAGCTGATAAATACTGTTCTTTTATCTGACAGTATCTCTTGTATCTGTGATAATATATTATTTCATCATATAGAAACCATGCGACAGTTATTGTATCTATCTTATCTATTATTCTGGCTTCTGGCCATTTCGTGAAATAGTTCGTAGCTACTATAATATATCTTTTCTTCATGAACATTAGTTTCAAAGGTTTCATGATGTATATTCCTAATTGATTGAAAGTTTGCCTTACTTTAATAGGTTGTATCTCATTAGTTCTTATAGGTTTATCCTGTCATTAGCACGCATTACAGGATTCTATGTAGTTCTTTATATCTATATCCATGGTGAGTCAGAAGTATCATTTTCTTGTTTTGTCGATTGTTGCCTTTATGCTGAAGTATCTTACATTTGACACACTGTACATATTATATAGTAATTTTGTTATGTCGTTTTTCAATATTACCTATAATAAGTTATCATCCTTATTGTGTTTGAATAATAAATTGTCTTGTATGATATAATGATTCACTTTCTGTCATAATTGTTGTCATTGCTCGCTTGTTCAATTTAGAAGAAAAGTGTAATTGATTAAGTACTCAGTTATTTGATTGTAAATTTCTGTATCCATTTTAAAAGATTTCATAAGTTCTCTACTATTTATCTGAGTTCCCAGGTTTCTTCTATTATTCTTAGTACTGGATCTGAGATAAAGTGTTTATATTGGCATTAAAATGTCCTTGTTTATGAATTATTTTGTAATTGTACTCAGATACTTCAAAAATTCAACAAGCAATCCTTCTTTTCAGTTGCAAATGGTTCTTCAACCATGTGAGGACTAGGTTGTCAGTATACAAATTAAACCTGAGACTATATAAATAATGCTTAAAATATTATACAGCCCAGATGACAACAAGGCACTCTCTTTCAATAACAATATAGTTTTGTTCAGTACTGAACAGCAGTTAGCTAACATAAGTAACGGGATGTTCGTGATTCTCTGTATCTTTCTGTAAAAGCACAGCTCCAATACTACAGTCAGATGCATCAGTAGTGAGTATAAATTGTTTCATGAAATCAGGGTATGTTATTATAGGTGTTAAAGTTAAATGACCCTTCAGTAAGTCAAATACAGGTTGGTGTTCATGCTTCTGTTTAAATACAATATCTCTTTTCATAAGGTTATGTAATGGTTTCACAACAGTAGATAACTCTTTTACAAATCTTCTATAATAGGATGTAAGTTCCAAAAAGATGTGAACATTTGTTTTATCTTTTGGAACAGGATAACTCTTCACTTTTCCAATACTTGCTGAATTAGGTGCTATCCCTTTAATTGTTATAATGTAGTTTAAAAATGTTAGTCTTGTTTGGAAAAAGTTACACTTCTCCAGATTTATCTTTAATCTTGTATTTCTTAAAAAAGTAAAAACAACTCCTAGGTACTTTTCATATTTTTTGCGAGTTTTCGAATAGATAATAATATCATCTATGTACACAAGTACGAATTTCCATGCAACTTCATGGAAATAAATTCAAATGAAATTACTAGAAACTCATATATTTCAAATTGGATAATGAAAGTAGTCTTTTCGCAATTCTCCACTACTACTTCAACTTGCCAGAACTTTGATACTAAGATCAAGATAGAAAAAAAAGTGGAATGTCCTAAAGCATCTAACATATCAGCTATTCGTGGAACTAGGTAGATATTAGGTTTCATGATAGTATTCAGCTTTTTGTAATCAATGCAAAACTTGAACTTTCCATTCTTCTTACTGGTGTTGACCGTGATTTACCTTCAAATAAATACGATTAACTAACAACTAAAGGCAGGGAAATTTGTATAGCAAACACACAGCAACTATACTTAATATACCAATGTTGGAAGAGTTTTATACTGTAAAGGAAGTATAAAGTATGAAGGAT